TTTCTTTCTTTCTTTCTTTCTTTCTTTCTTTCTTTCTTTCTTTCTTTCTTTCTTTCTTCTGGAGTGAAAAGTGAGGACTCATCTAAAGGAGCATTGATGATGAGGCTTCTGGGCCTGGGATTTTATGGTGACATCACACAGCCATCAGCTTCTGTGCCCACTGCTGTCTTTCGTTTTGCTTCCTTTCCCCTAGTGAAAGACATGAGGACGTTGAATGAGCAGAAGCCCTGAAAGCGATGGTAGGAAGAGGAGACACCTCTGTGAGTTGAGTCTGAAAACATTGCTTATCACCAGAACAGAAGCATCTAAAAACACTGAAATTCTCTTTGGTGGACAGTCATCATTTCGGGATTTCCCACCCCAGTGGCATTTGGGGCTGCATAGCTCTGTTGTAGGGAGCTGTCTGTGCAGGTAGGATGTTGATTCTCACCTAGTGATGCCAGAAGCTTCTTTCTCCATCTCCAAGCATGATCAAGATAAGATCTTTACATGTCATAACATGTCCTCTGGGGGAACAAAGCCATCTGTAGTTGAGAACCGTATACTAGATCTACAACTGTGAATCTCAAATAACCAATGGCTTTCTCTCTACTTTTGTCCATGACACCATTTAAGATGACCCAACACTGATATCCTCCAGGGGCCCTTCCTCATGGATAGCTCTGCCATCTACCCTCGCTGGAAGAAGGTTTTTTGTTTGCATTGTCTCATCCTCAGCTTCTTTTCTCTTCTTTCTCTTATACACAGAACACTGTTCTGAGCAACCATTCAAGGATAGCTTAACAATTAACCAGAAAATTCTTTTTTCCTGATGTCTGTGACACTTTGGACCAAATCCAGACAAAACCCTCCTGATCACCCCAAAAGAAAATGAATGCTTTGTTTGTTATCTGGGGTCCTACCGTGCTGACTACGCTGGCCTTGAACTCCTGGGCTCAGGTCTTCCTCATGACTCAAACTCTGGAACACCGGGACTGAAAACGTGCGCCACTACACGCACAGCTGTGAATAGTCTTTAAACGGAGACAGGGATCTCAGTGCGAGAAACTTATATGAGTTCTGAGGGTCCCCATGAAGGAATGGTAGAGTCGCTGGTGTTCACCGTAGCTCAGGTTACAGTCCAGGTCCCATAGCACGTGGTACACTCCATCAGTGCTGGGCACTATCCCATTCAGCTCATGTTCTCACCGCTTTGTAGACCTGGCCACTGAGGTTTAGTGAAGGGATTTATTCAAGTCTCTAGAGCCCAAGAGGCAGTGTGCAGATTTGAACCAGGGCAGCGTAACTCTTGGGTATACTTCGCCCTTGTTCATTTAGCTACAGTCCTTAAGGGCCGTGGACTGAGACCTGAGACCTGAGACTAAGAAGGGGGGGAAGGGGGGGAAAGGATATGACTTTTCAGGAGTTGTAAGAACGCACTGGCTGAGTTCTGAGGCCCCAGCTTTCAGTGTCTGGCCCTATGCAAATCACCAAGTGAATGTGGTCCCGTTCTGTTTCCATCTGTCTTAGTGAAACTGCCTCTGCTTAGCGGTGTGGAGTATTACTTTCCCAGTTTAGAAAGTTAATTTACTGAGGGTAGCTGAAGTGAAGAATATGGTTCAAGAGGGTGACCCAGCTAGCAGGTGTTAGGGGCAGAAGTGGGGGCAGGAGACGGAGGGCTGCAGAATTGAGAAAAAGCCGAACCTTTGAGTCTCTTAGCAACATGAGAGGGGAGAAAAGGGGGAGGTGGGCAGGGAGCAATCTAAAGCTTTGGTAGTGCCCACACCTTAACTTTTCTAAACTCTGTTTGAGGCTCATTTTGTATTTTCAATGTAAAACCAGAAAATCATAGTTTCTATTCTTTTGGTGGTGTGTGTGCATACACGCACACAAAAGCAAAAAACAAGGCAAAACAAAACAAAAAAAACCCCACACAAACCTGAAAAGGACCATTGTGTCCTTTACCACTGCAAAAGTAGGCGTGTGTCAGGAAAAAAAGAGAAATGAGGAAGAACCAAAATATAAGCCACAGTCCCACCGCCAGCCAATCTGTGTAGTTATTGTGAGCCTTACTCTTGCAGGCCACAAGGACAATCTTCACACAAGTTGCCATCTAATAATGAGCTGAATGCGATGAGAAAGAGGAAGGAGAAAAGCCATAGAACGAGTCACAAAGAACAGATTAACCTCTGTGCTGGATGCTGTCTAGGGCGGTCATGAAGCCGAATGGTATTTCCTATAGATGGGGTTCCCACAAGGTCCCCCCTTCACCATTGAGCAGAGGCTGTCTCCACCCCAAGCCTGGAGCAGCTTCTCCATAAACCCTTGGGAAGCCCTGCAGCCCCCGCTGGAGCTCCTCAGGAAGCAGTCACCCGTGCAGGCCTGAACACATTCCTGGACGTTTGGTCATGGGCAGCGAGTGCCTCAAGAGTCATAGTCTCTTAACAAACTTTCAGAACGCCAGCCTTCTCTGGAATCCCTCCTTCTTGGGTCTTCTGGAAGGCCATGCTTCTGAAGGCAGAAGAAGGATGAAGTCCTGCGATTAATAGGGAACATTGGTTTAAGCTTCCGTTTGACGGCTGTGTAACTCAGTGGTGAGTGTGTGCAAGTGTGTGTGAGCGTGCATGCACATGCGCATGAGCATATACTTGTGACATGTGACAAATAGTTTTTGGCTATGAGAGAAAGAATTATTTTTCTCTTACAATGATATCATTTTTTTTTTTTTTCTATTTCAGTAGAAAAATCAAACAACAGAATACACAAAAAGCCTAAGGAAAAGAAGGCCATGGGGAGAAGGTGGCCCTGGCTCCTCCGTAGCAAAGAGCAAGTGGCCAGAGGAGGCAAATTCCCTGCTTGAGACAAAGCCCAAAGGATCTTACCTGCTGAGCTGTAGCTCACTGCATCTGGCTCTCCTCCCTGGCTGGCTGAGAGAGCCTTTTTGAGATGTACCAGTTATCCCTGGCTCAGAGCCTCCCAAGCTGGCCCAGGAGAGAAGTGACTCCAGTGAGAAGTCAC